TGGGGAGGATCCTCCGAGCCTGAGCACCAAGCAAGATCTTCAAGCTCATGCTTCGAACTGAAAAGAAATCTGCCTTGCTCCTGGTTTTCCGAGTCGTGGTTTTTCCGGGGGAGGATGGGCGAATGTCGAGGCAGGGGCTTAGTGTGTCTTTCAGAGAGACGTAAGGGTCCACAATGATTACCCCCACTTTGCCCGAAAAATGGAAAAGAGAAGTGCACAAAGCTCAAGACAAAGAGTCAAGAGTGAAACGCGCGAAAATTTCAAGAACAAGATTCTTCTGAAGAGTAGAGAAGACTTAGGGATTAGAAGTAGCGGCGCCCGATAACCTGAGGCAGCAGCCCAGAGTAGGGCAGGAAGTCGCCAGGAGCCCAGAAGTCTTTTCCAAAAGGAAGTTCTTGAAAGAGGAAGAATTGTCGGGACGACAATTTTATGAAGAGGGGGGCAGTGTTGCGGCCGTGCGGTGTTCCGTTCGGTGCTGCTGAAATTAATCGATATCAATCGATAAGAGTTTGAATAGAGGATCGGCCCTTGGCAACGCGTCGTTCTCCGACTGTTTTTACAGATTTCACGGCCAAATTCCGCGGTGGCCGGACGCGTTTCTGTACCGTTGTACCGTTAGTTTAATAAAGAGCGAGCTTTTCTTTAAACAGTGTTCTTCCTTTCCGAAAGCGCTCCGCCGAGTATCGCGATCTCGGGAAGTAACGCCGCGAACGCGACAATAGGTTAAACTCCAATTTACTACAAATGATTTTTTATACTATTGATTTTTGAAAACTTTTTGTCAGAAGAAACTTTTGACCAGAATCATCTAAACTAAAATATATTTTAATTTCAACATATATTTTAATTTGATTGAAATCACTTTTTCATATAAAATATGTAGGATGCTTTTATGATAAAAAAAATATTTTTTACTATTTACATACCTTTTCGCAGGAAAGAATAAAATGGATGGAAAACGATTCATACTATATTCCCAAGGTAAATCGTTGTTGTCTCCATTAACTCTTACAAAAATTAAATTATTCATGTTGGATAAATAATATGCCACTGTCAAGTATACATATGATATAGCACTACAAAATCCACAATAAGGGGAATGATACATTATAACGACATCCTAAAAAGTAAGATTACATTTTTTAATTTAGTTCATTATATTTTAATATAATAAGATTCATTCTTTGATATGCAATTCTAACATATTTTTATATATTTTAAAAAAATTTAACATAATATTGTACATGCTACTGATCCTGATTATTTAAAAGCAATTCGGAATTAGATGTATATTTTGCTGATTTCTGAGGTGATGCCTTACCATTGTTACTTGAAGCTTGATGACTAAGCTATCAATCACGCGTGAAATATTTTGCCTCAAAGCGTCAATCAAAAATATACTGAAATCCATATATATCGTGTATATATATATATATATATATATATATATATATATATATATAT